GCTGCGTCAAACAGGCTTGCCATCGTGGAACTGCTGTGTTCAATTGAAGTTTGTACAAATCGGGATCAGAAAACTCGTACCGTACCAAGAACACTTAAATTTGTTCGAAATGGCGTCTGAATAAAGCAGTTCCGCTGCAAAAAACTTGTACGACCCGACTTTGTAAAGCAATGAAATCGAGACTGTGATGTTGGACGTGCTATTCGACCTTGCTAAAAAACTATACTTGCAAACTGCTATCCACATAATTTCGTTGTACCTGACGCTTTGAAAACGTGAATTGTTCTCGAAACAGAAGATCAACGAATGTTTAGTTTTTTATACCCTTTTTTGCCGTATAATGGTTAGCTTCCTGGGTTTTCGGTAGCTTTAGGCCATCAAGTCTCTTTGTTTATAAACTTCACAATAGAGTATGATTTCAATGGAATCTATCGAGGAACCCATTTATAAATATGTAGTCAAGGTAGTGAAGTGGCTTGAAGTCGCTCTTTGGTGGCGTAGTAAAATCCAACGTTTGCTGTTGATTTAATAAATTCTTGAAATATTGAACATTATAGCCAGTGGCTAATTTGCCTATTTGATTGTCCAATTCATTGCTCTGATTAGTAATAGTGGCCTAATTTCCTAGTTGACATATAACGCGCATTCAATGATGGAAGTTATTTGTCCCAAGGGCCACGAGTTCGGAGAACGTATTGATTTTCGTTTTTTNTTTTTTTTTTCTTTTGCTTCTCTTTTTTCAGTATAATGATTAGCTTTCTGGGCTTTCGGTAGCTTTGGGCCATCAGGACTCTTCGTTTATCAACTTCACAATAGAAAATGATTTCAACAGTTTTTTGCCATTCCCTAACGAACTATTCTCTGTTCGATTGATGGCTTGATCCATGTTTCGCTTTTAATTTTGTTATTTTCTAAGGTTGCATGCGACTTCATGGTGCTGTCGTGGGTATTGATGGCGAAAATAATAGTCTCTTCACAATCACCGTTGACGGAAAAGTGTTTCATTTACAGGTAAGCATTTATGGAAAGTGTTTTGCATAAGAAACGAGGTCAAATGCACTGATAACGTGCAGATACCCGGAGTCCTTTCAAACTTGATTTGTCTTTTTCAAAACCGTAAGAATAATTCCTTTCATCCGCCGCCGAGAACTTCTTTTGAAAGAGAAATAGATAAGTTTCGTTTGATATGCATTAGTAGATCAACATATATAACGTATCATGAAAAATCCACCATTCGGGATGACCTGTTGAATTCGAAGTTTCAAAAAGGTGAATGCGTGTTCCGCTTTTGCATGCGAGCTCTCAAGCGCACGCTGGGAGATGTTTTATCGGGGCTCCAATGATTTCTCTTTGATAACCTTGTACTTGTCTTTTTTGGCTGTTCTTGTAAAAGGGACCACGACTGATAAAAGAAGGTAACCATGCTTCCAAAATTATTGTCAACTTTACAGTCTACAATATCTTTATGAAACTGTCCAGTTTGTCAATGTGAGGCTTGTGTAATTAGATATTTGTTCAACTTTTTTCTATAACTATCTCTCTCAGTCATTCATTTTGGTTTAGTTATAGGTTTACGTTATAGTTAGTTATAAAGACATTAAGTGCAATCTGAAATTCTCAGGATGCTGGAAACGAATTAGCCAGCAATGGGTCCGATTGTCTGTGTGTTAAAATTTTCATGAATATCCACAATGCTTATGCTATGCCTCTTCCAAGGTTTTTGCAATATTACGGGTGTTATCACAACTGGTGACATTTTTCTGTTGTGCCCACTTTCGCTCAAAATGTCACTAGCTTTTATCGCGGTATTAAAAATTGTGCCTAACAGACTTCACTCGTGTGGTTGTTCCATTTGGCAGCGACAGAACAAGCAATTTTTCGCGTCGATCGGAAGCATTAATATGAAAATATCTGCATGCATGCTTGTAGTGATGGGAATTTGTCGCTAGAAAGCAGATATGTTCAAACTTTTGCTCTCATAGAACTGTCGGGATCTGGCCTAAGGTCAATTTTTNTTTTTCCTTATTTCAAAAATACTCGATTTTGAGGTCCATTTCTTTTTTCATGCATCTTATATGGCTCTCTTTTCCGTGGCCAACTTTTTCTCTTTATCTTTTTCTCTTTCCTTGTTATATCTATTACGGAAGCGGGCATCCAAATCTTTATTATATTATTCTTTTTATTCAAAGGGGATAAGGTTTCATAGAATCGCGATCCCTCTTTTTCTGCCGAACCATACCTCATTACGAGATCACTAGCTGTCATTTTTGTAGTGGAGGTGATGTCACTCTATGGATTTTGTTCACTGTTGTGTAATACAAATACTTATCCCTTCACAGTGGCCCTCATGCGGGAAACGAGGGAGGATGAATATGGCTTTTTAGACTTTTGACTTGGCCGCTGAAATTGATATCTGAGCGGTCTGGATATTGTGACATTTCGAGTATAAGCTTAAATACGAAAGCGGTTTAGTCTTATTCGCAGAAAGGTGAAAATAAGAAATGCTTTCCGTCAGGATTAAACAAAATGTCATCTTATCTCATTCTAAAAATTCGATGCAAAAATCTTCCTTGAGCTGTCTTTGCTCGTCACTCAAGCGCTTAGCCACAGTTTCTGAAATAACAGTGGCGGGATCATTCCACAATTCTATCCTTTGCAAATGATAACTTGCGCTTATCTTTTCATCTGTCACTTGTCGCTATTTGATCAATTTTTTCAAGCGAGCGTCAATAACGTCTCCATTCGTCCAAATCGCGAGTCACTTTTCACTTGAAGGACACATCATTCATTTTGTCCAGAGCATTTCCGAAAAAAGTTTAACTACTGGGCTGACGGCAGTCCTTGTATTCATTTGGAGTCGGGAGGGATCCTGTAGGTAAACTTTCTAGTCCAACGGCCACCACGAAATCGCATGATGGTGCAGTCAACCTGAACTTTATTTGTGACCATGCTTGAGGCTTTACATGCTGCCTTTCGTTTGTATGTATTGTGGAACTCCATATTCTTCCAAACAGAGGGAAGTCGAACAGCATATGACGAGTAGCTTAAGAAAAGAATTGTCGGATTGGAAATATGAGCGCGGAGCAGGTTGTCTCTGTCTTTTTCACTTCCCTCGACGTCGGTAAATGCTCTCTATGCTGCTCGCTTTCTTCTGCTCATCTCTGGAGCGAGATGACTCATCATCATTAAGCCGTTTCCGTGGTTTACATTATACGTTCCATTGTGCGATTAACGGGGACTGAGGGCAAGTGCGTTTCTCATTAACATTGTCTTATTTTGCTAGTATCCACTCCATTTGCTCTAAGAAGTGGCGTGGAAAGTACCCGCTGAATATTTAGCATTAATCCGGACTTTTGCGGGGTTTTTCTGGAAGTCTCTATAGGGTTCTTTTTGTAACGACGCTCCCACGCCTAACATACCTTGTGACCTATTCCTTGCTTGTTGCACCCAATATAATGACCAAAGTGTCTATCCATATGCAACGCGTACTCCTTCATAGGCTCGAATGCGGCCTTTTTTCATAATTGAACTACTGTAGTAGCTTATCAAAGCCCTGCTGAAAACTGTCGAAGCTTATCGATATGTGTGCCAATCATTCGGCCCTGTAGCCCCTTATAAGAGGCTCTATGCACACTTTGCTCCAACGCGTCTCCCATGGAACAAAAAGGGTCGGAGATGTACTTCGATCTGGTCAATCGATTTCGATGTCATAAATTCTCCTCACTTAACACGCACGTAGGTAGTGCCCTTTTGCAATATTGTTTTTACAATATTCATTAGAATCCTTTTCCAAAATCTCAAGAGAAATGTGGATTATCATGAGGTATTCAGCAGATCCTTTCCGCACAACTCAATATAAGCACGATGCTGTTTGCGATGCAGAATGGGAGCAACTGCCAGCCGACGTCCTTTTTCATATCCACCAATCCTATCCGAAGCATGTAATTTCAAGAGCGCTGCGAAAAGTTTGGCTGAGGTTCACCATGTCGAATCCCTCTTGACATTGACGATGACCTCTTTGAGGACTGGTGATCGGTGATTGCCTCTTTGTAGAACGTTGAGATTCTTGTCCTGATGTTGCCACAAAATACGGTAATCATCCTTACGTGTTGCTTCGGGATGCCCTAGTTGAAGCTCAGATTGTCGCTCTAGTCTCAATAAAGTCAAGGCTTCTCTGAAATCAATGAACGTGAAACATACTAACGAGTCATTTTCTCATGAGCTCAATTAGTCTTGTAACCGTGGGAACATAATCGACCATGCTGAACCTTCTTCGGAAAAGTGCATGCTGGCATAAATGTTGTTCGTCAAGTGTTTTGTCGGTCTCGCTAAGGGTGGCACCAAAATTGCGCAAAATTCGCCAATATCGTTTCTATTTTGGTTTTTATTTTCTGTGAACAACACAGATCTACTCGCGATGTGGTAATTTACTTTCTTGCTAGTAGTGCCTGAATAGCTGAAACAAAATGATGGCGGTGACTGCCGAAAGGCTCGTGAACCCCTCCAACATGGCCAAGTGATGCACATTTTTTTGACGAAATAACGTGTGGCTCTAAAGCGGTTTTTTTTATGTTGGTTCGTAGCCTGGGTGCATCGTCGAATTAGGGAATGAGAGTCATCTTATCATTCATAAATGATTGATAGCTTTTGGGCGATGTTTATAGCTAAGCATGCTTTTACATTAGAGCATGCCATGGCAAAAGTACACGCATTATGCAGAGAGTACCGTTACCGCCCTTGCCTTTGCCGTCGTAAATTTTGAGAAAGATCTTTTTCCTAGTTTATTGAAAGCTGGACAGCTCTTGCCACAGTCATCCCAATGATCTTATACTCGATCTTATAGACGTGCATAATGATATCTTCCATTTGGGTTTCGATTCAGGCATTGAAAGTCGGACAGCCTTCCGAGTTCTTCATAACTCAGATCTAATTCTTGATTTTTCTGCGGTCCGTGTTCTCCTGTTCTGTGAGGATATCATCGAAGTGTAGCAATTTTTACCCAGATCAGAAGAGCGCAGGAAAAAAATTGAATTACTTCCTCTATTATTTTCACATACCTTATGCTTTGGAGTGTAGGTGGTGTAGTGGCAAATAGAGCACTACCACACACGCTAAGTCCAGGGATGAATCCCGAATCGATATCTGCCCAGGCCACTCAAGCCTTCCATCTCCCGGGGTCAGTTATTGATACCGGGGCTACCTAGGAGAATAAAAACACTTACCTCTATATCGGCTGGTCACTTTAAGTCTTGCCGAGGCCATAAACACATATAAAACGCTACCACGATTCTGAATGGAAGTCGATTGCGGGGGCGCATTGCGAACAACGCAGTTGATTACCGCCAAAACCTTATTTATTTTTAATTTGGAACTTTCCTCGGTCTACATAATGACTTGCACTTGTCAATTTCCGCTCTGTGAGCAATTCTGCAATGATGTCATTCTTGCTGCGATACTACTCTTTGAGTTGATTCCGTTTCCGTTTGATTTTCATCGGTCGATACAAGTACTTACAGTGTTTGCGGATCTTTTATTTCCGTAAAACAATTGGCTTGTGATTATTGACAGTACTAGGAATAAGTAATGCGTGATCGGTTTGTCACTTTGGAAGAAAATCGCTAGTGCTCTAAGATTTTTAGGGTATAATTCCAAGTATTCCGTTAGATGGTGTTTCAAAAGTTTCTTATAGTGGTGATTTCATTTAGAGTATTCTGCGCTTGCATTCATTCCAGAATTCCATCGAATTCATTTCCACAAATTGAATTTGTTGCCTGAAGAACCATAGCGTTCAAATTTGCCTATCATGGTAGCCGTCCTTTTGTCGAGCAATGATTGGGTGTCCTTCATGTTTTGCTACCATCAGTTTNGTTTCCACAAGAGACCATTTACCGAACAATCCTCTTGAAACAACTCCGTACAACTAGGTATCTCTGTTGTGATTTCCGTTGATGACTGCACTCCAAATGCTCGATGACTACTGAGCTTCAGAATTTAGAGTACACCCCATTCAGTGATTGTTTCCATATCTCAATGACGTCCTC